CAGTCGTTTTTGGATAATCTTCAGTAGAATCTTGCTTGCATGTGAAATCAATGATATTGTTCTGTAGTTTCCACACTCAGTTGGGTCACCTTTCTTTGGGATGGGAACAAATATTGACCTCTTCCAGTCAGTTGGCCAATGATTCTCGAAAACATGCTGAAATATCTCAGTCACAAAAAGACAAATGCTGCATAAGCCACTGTTATAAAATAGGGTGGATATGGGAAGGAGAACAGGAAAAGAATGATTAGATAATGAACCGCACTGGAATAGGTGAAGGAAATGACAATCTGAAAGGAATGGATGATTAAACGTATGTTTGATAATTGCAAGTCTGGAATAAGACAAACATTACAATGTAAATGGGGGAGAGGTAATGAGGAAAGTGTGTATGAATAAGTGAATGAAAACCAGTGTCTTTGTAATCTTTTACTAAAATAATTATTAAAAATAAAATATAAAGAGGTCTGTCCTTTTTGTTTAGTAGATGAAAGAACTCAAAGATTTCCAGAACCACCAGGACATACAGCCTGTTTGTGATACTGCCAGCACTCAGTGCCTGATTTCTTGTCTGTGGCCCAAGTTCATTTTTTTCGCCCTATCAAGAATACGTTGAATGTGGGAGGAAAGAGTAATACTTCTTTTTTTTCTAAAATTTGATCATTATTGGGTAAAGAAGAGAAGGATAATGTAATTTATTTCAAGCTAATCTTCTGTCTACTACTAAGTTCAGTTTCTCTGTTTCTCTCAACAGACGAGAGCTTGGAAACATTGATGCGGTTCCACAAATTTCTCTGGAAGATGCCCTTTCCAACCAGGAGATTGAAGTCGCCTACATCTGCAGTGAGAGTTCCAGCCATGAGAGCTACATTAGGTGTGTTTCAATACAGGCAGGCCTTCTTTACTAAGTAGTGCACAGTTGTGAAAGCATAATTCAAGGAAAAGCTGCACATAGTGACTTTAGTCAGTGGAGAAAAGAACAGTGGGTCTAGGAACTTTTAAAAATCTTGACAAAATATTAAAAAACTCAAACTCATTGTTGTCAGAACCAGTTCATAACTTTCTATTGGGTTTCATGTAAATTACAAAGGAAGTTTTACTAGAAGCTGAGCACATAATTGAAATATATATGACTCCTAAAGGAGCCATTCATGGATTTGGACTACTGACCTAGGTTAGCAGATAAGCATAAAAACCACTGTGCCATGAAGAAATGCTCAGAATCACTGGCAATAAGAGAGATTCAAATCAAAACCACAATGAAGTACCATCTCACTCCAGTAACAGTGGCTGAATTTAACAGGGCAGCAAGTAATAGATGCTGGAGAGGATATGGCAAGAAAGGAACTCTTAAACATTGTTGGTGAGATTATAAAATGGGATAGCCATTCTGGAAGGTAGTTTGGCACTTCCTCAAAAAGCTGATCATACACATTTCATATGACCCAGCTATTCCACTATGTGGAATATATCCTGAGAAAATGAGAACTGAGGCACAAATGGAAACTTGTTCACCAGTGTTCATAGTAGCATTATTCATCATCACAAGAACATGGAAACAACCCAGATGTCAAACCACAAACAAATAGATTGAGAAGTTACGGTGCATTCAAATGATGGAATAATATGCAGCACACCGGAGCAATGATTTTTCTAAATTATTACCTAACTTGGGAGGAACTGAAGAGCATTATGTTGAGTGACAAGGACAAATATTGTACAAAACTATTGTAGAATGAGTATAAGGATCTGGGGGTGGGGAGAGGAGAGTGGAAACAGAGGAATGAGTATGTGCAGGGGGAGTAGGAGATTAATCATGGGGTTGTACAATTTGATGGGGGGAGTGAGGGGTATTTGAAGAATCTGTTCTGGAAAACAATGATTCGAATTTTGTAAATAAAGTAGTATAATAATAAAGAAACAAACAAAAAACCACTTTGCCACCTAGATTTCTAAACTGGGAATTAACCTACTCCCATCAAATAGGTTTTGACTCATGGTGGTCGCCAGTAGGTTCCCAAGGCTATAAATCTTTATAGCCTGTCTATAGAGACTGTCATATCTTTTTTGCTCAGAGCAGCAGCTGGTCTTAAACTGACAGCCTTTACATTAGAAACCTGACATTTTGCACACTGCACCACCAAGGCTTCTTATCAGGAAACTTGTTAGGTGCTGTCTAGTAACTCGTAGATAGGTAAATAAATGAATATTCAAATTAATACATATATTAAAAAATCATCCTCTTACAGAGGTAATAAAAACATAAATACTTCTATATTGTATTTTTTTTGTTATAAATAAAATGTAGTGTGAGCCACTTCCATTATATTCTTTTTTACTGATACTGACCCCATTTTTTTCATGACACATGCAAACAAAAGGGTATATAGTGGGCAGACTTTGAAACTCTTGAATATTCATAACTTTCTGTTCTCTGTCATACATGGCATTTTAGTTTATTTCAAGCATACTTTTTCCTTTATTTGTTTTTCCAAAGGCAGTTCCTGAGTGCTGGCAAGCATGTCCTTGTCGAGTACCCCATGACGCTGTCTCGGGCAGCAGCTCAGGAACTCTGGGAGCTGGCTGAGCAGAAAGGTGATGTTTATTCAGTGTGACTCTAGGGTTTCTTTAGTACCGTTTTTTATCTTTTTAAAGCATATCCCTTACTTACCCTGGGCCTGTGGGGCTGCACATCTCCACTTCACCCCTTTCATTTCCTCTTACCCATATTATGAGGATGTATAGTGTGGTTTGAGTGTGGAGGGAGCAGGGGTAATGGTGAGTGAAAATTTGCAAACCTATATTCTTTTGCCTGGGTGAAACATATCAGTTAGCTTCCACCTGTGCTACTGGCTCATTATTATTTCAGTTTATTTATGTGATATTTACATCACTAATAGAAAATGCCCAAATCAAAATAATTGTCTTGTACAAATACTTTATTTGTTGTTGTGTCCCATCGAGTTGTAACTGACCCATAGCTGACCCTTCAGTGGGTTTCCAGAGGCAGTAAATCACACTGGAAAAGATTCCCCAGAGTTCTTCCATGGAGCAGCTGGTAGATTAGAACTATATTCCTTTGGAGTTGTAGCACATTCTCTTATCACTAAGCCGCCATAGCTCCCTAAATATAGTTTCTCAAAATGAATAATCATTCATTAAATATCCACTGCATACTCAGAGGAGAGCTCTGGTGTTCTAATAGGGAGTGTTGCTACCAACTCAACAGCTGCTTCTCAGGAGAAGGATGAGTAATCTTTCTCGATTTATAGTCTCTGAAAATAACATTATGTTAGAGGATTGGCTATGGTTTGATTCCAAGTTGACAGCAATAAGTTTGAGTTTTATATACTTGGAATTGGTAACTCTGCTAACCACATCATATACATTGTTTGTTTAATTCTCCTAGAAGTCCTAGGTGGTAGGTACGTAGTTCTCTGTTGGAATTTGAAGTGCATACTTGTTCCAGTAGACAATGCTGCTTTCCTGAGGTTCTTCCATTTGATAAGAACTAGCTAGCCACTTTATAGAGGCAACTAGACCAAGTAAGGGTTGGAGGAGCTGGTTATATGAAACTTAAATCGCATATCTCTTTTTTTCAACATGTACTTGTTGTTATGTGCCATCAAGTTGCCTGCAACTCATAGGTTGCCTGCAGCCATGCCCTGTCCTGAGCCAGTCTCACTAATACCAGTACACCTCCTTCCCATTGCCCCAGTAATCCATTTCATCTGGGGTCTTCCTCTACTGCTCTGTCCACCATCCCTCTGATCATGATGTCCCTCTCCAAGGTCTCTCCTGGCCACATATCCAAAGTATGTGAAATTGAGCTTCAAAATCCTGTCCTGCAATAAGAAACTTGGTTTCACCCCCTCCAAAACAGACGTATTTGTTTTCTTAGAAGTCTATTGTATGTTTAAGACTCTTACCTAAAACCACAATTCAAAGACATCGATTCTTCTTCTTCATCCTTAGTCATTGACCAGATCTCTGATGCATAGCAAGTAATTGAGAAGACCATGGACTGGATCAAGCACACCTTAGTCTCTAGAGTGACATCATTGCTTTTTAGTTCTCTGAAGAAATCCTTTACAGCAGATTTTCCCAGTGTAATTCATCTTTTGATTTCCTGATTGCTGGTGCCAACAGTGTTGATTGTGGAGCTGAGCAAACTGAAGCTGTTAACAACCTCAATCTCTTCTCCATCTATTATGGTGCTGCCAATTAGCCCAATAGCGAGAATCTTTGTCTTTTTGATGTTGAACTTTGATCGACATGTACTATGGAAAAATATTTAATATATGAACAAAGTATGTGATATTGAAAATCACCGAAGAAAGCCCTTTTCACAAAGTATATACTGATCACACTTGTGAATTCCTGTGTTTCTCCACTGGTGGGCTGGACTTCCAGAAGAGGAGGACAATACCATCATTCTTCTCTGCAACTCTAGCAGCTAAACTGTTCCTGGGACCTTCCATAGACAGTTGTTGAATGATAATGTAGATGAATGAATGCAGAAGTAAAAGAGGCTTGGAAAAATTTGAGGTCATCAAATTTGTGTATTTTTTTTCTTATGGTTCAGATGTCTGGAGACAAAGTATGCCCTACTAATATCTTACTAATTGCAAAGGGAAATTGTATAATAGTGAGTTCTACTGGTTGCCCTCATAGCCAAATGGTGATGAGCAGGGGCCAGCCTACAATACTGGCCTTAAAGTGAAATACCATGGGTGCAGGCATCAAAATATCAAACTCATTGCTATCGAATTGGAAGTCACTCATAGCTGACACTCTAGTGGGTTTTCTGAGGCTGTAAGTTATATGGGAGAAGATTGTCCATCTTTCTTTCTTAGAGCCATAGTGAATTCCAGTTGCCAGAGGTGCTGCCTTTGGTGCAACTCTCTGTGAACTGTGCCACCAGAGCTCCCTTTTCCACACATCACCACCTATGAAATATTCTTACAAAATGTTTATCTAAATATAGTTAAGTAAGTCCATCTCACAGAAAATACACAGGAGAAACAAAGTAAATTATAGCATTAAAAAAACCTACCAAGGCATAATAGCTATGTGTCTTCAAAAAGAAAATGTCTTGCATATAGTGGCTTAAATCTGAGAGTGCAGTGTGGAAAATGGAAGGAGTCACTTTTCAGAGACGAAAACAGAGAATACCGCAAGCAGATGTTCAAAATCAGTATCAATAGTGTAAGCCATTTTCATAGTATATACCCTTGATTTGGTATGATGTGAAGGATACTCTGCTGTTTTTCTTCAAAAAATCCATAATCTAATCATAAGAAAAATATGAGACAGAATCAATTTGAGGAACATACTCCAAAATACCCAGCTAGTGACTCTCAAATATATAAAGTCATTAACAACAAGATGAGTTTGAGAAATTTTTCAACACAGGAGTAGCCTAAGGAGATCTTATAACTTAATGTAATACATTAATAGTATCCTGGAAGACATTCTGGGATAAAGACAGGAAGAACTAAGTTGCTGTTGTTGTTGTTGTTATGTGCCGTCGAGTCGCCTGCGACTCATAGCGACCCTATGTACAACAGCCCTAAACTCCGCTCTGTCCTGTGCCAATCGCACT